AAAAAAAAAAATACTTTTTTTGAATTATCGTATTTCATAAATAGACATCGGGATCGAAAAACATATGCCTGTGAACATAGCTTGTTCGGTATGAAAACAACATTAGTTGTACAGTCTGTCCGCAGGTAACGCACTCATGCATTTTTTGATATTCAGAGTGTCATAACTAGTGTCCGGCGTGACCAAAAAGTCGTGACCAAAGAAAAAAAAAGTTTTTCGATTATAGTTTCAATAGTACATGTGAGAACCGAAGCCTATTTATCTATTCTTGTTCAGAATTTTTTTCTCTTCAAAATAGTATATAAAACTCAAAGAATTCGATGATCCATAACAGAGAAAATTGCATCACATTAGTCGTGACCAGTTTTGGTCACGGTCAGTCACGACATTTTCTGATCACGACTAATGTGATGCAATTTTCTCTGTTATGGATTATCGAATTCCTTGAGTTTTATATACCATTTTGAAGAGAAAACAATTCTGAACAAGAATAGATAAATAGGCTTCGGTTCTCACATGTACTATTGAAACTATAATCGAAAAACTTTTTTTTTCTTTGGTCACGACTTTTTGGTCACGCCGGACACTAGTCATAACACGGTAACTTAAGGTGATAAACAACTCTTCAGTAAGATATACGAAACTTTTAGTTTTACTAAAATTTTCATTTCATTTGGTTGCACTATGACCACTTTATAAGAATAGAAAGTCGTGATAACGCCTTCATCCAAAAGAATTCTTTTCATTAGAACTATTCAAAAAAGCTCACATCCCTAGAAATTTTACCTCTCTAAATAATATTTTCATTTATGTTTGTAGCTAAGACAAGAAATCTCACGATGATGAAATTTGTTTTATGAAAGTTTGTATCTCGAAAGAGTTATCACGAAAATATTACAGTAATCCACTGAATAACTTGTTTTTAGACTTACTGAAAAAAGCATAGTTTTTACAGCTTTGGTAACAAAATAAGATGACCCATTGATGTCAAATTGTAACTCAACCTTCAATAATACTATATATATATATAATTCATTTCTAATTAAGTGACGCTTTCAGTTGATGTCCTAAGAACTAAAGTAATATTTCATCATTAATTTTTTTTTCTATCTTTATGAAGAAATAATGTAAACACAAAAAGACATGAATCGAATATAACATAATGATTTGATGTGAATATAGCGTCTGATGACATGAACTCTTTTCGAATACTGAAGTTTCCAACTAACAAAATGAAAGGATAGTATTTCGATGAAAAGATTATTGTGAAATCCGATCATGCAAGTAAACAATCAAGATAGGTAAGAACGAATCGCTTGTAATTGAATGTATTTGTATGATATGTTATTGTTCGTTCGCTTATCATTTGTTGTTGCTACCTTAGTAATAAATTGATTCATTGCCCTTTCGAACTTGACACTATATAAGTCGAATAAGGACAAATTCGAATTTTATGAATAACAATTAGATTTTTATTTAGGACAAATCACTAATGTAAGTTGAAGAGTTATACTAGATGTTGATGTTGACTTATTATAATTATAGTTCACAGTCTGTGAAACAAAAAATCTTTTCAATGTTTTAATAGATGTATTTATCAGCTAGAATCTACTTTCTAGAAGACATCTGAGTTCATAAATTAATGAGAATAGTTGTCATTATGAAAAGTTTGCTAATAAAATATATTTATCTTTAGAAAGCAAGCTATGAAGCAATCAATGATAAGTATATTTTTCATTGTTTTAATATTCATTGCATGGACCTCAATGCTCACTGATGCACGTCAATGTTGGGGAAGTGGATATGGTGGTTGCAATGACAGTGGATGCAATGCGGCGGGAGGCTATTGTCGAAATTTTGGACGACCACCAAATAACGACTGCAGATGCGTCGGCAAAACAAGGGGATCCTCACCTCGACGACGTAACAGGCCACATGGATAAACAAAATAGGAGCGAATCCAAATTCTATATTTATAATTTTTTTGCTCTTAATTAAGCATGTGCCAAATCTGATTAGCTTCACTTGGCTTAGATACATGCTTACTTTTGATCTTCAGTAAATAAAATTGTCAATCTTTGTAACACTTAAATCTATGAAAAATCAACATTTAAAGTTTACTATAGTGAATAGAGTCAAAAAAAGAACCGAGTATTTTAAGATCTTTTCATTTAGACTTGTATAATGACAAATTTTAATGTAAATATTCAAGTTTAATGTTTAGATGTATATAGGAACGATATGTTAAATTGATAACTTATTCATCGTTAAATTTTTTTCCTTTCTTATATATTGATAAGACATCATATATAATGTGATTTTTAAAATCTCACGAGAACTTCAAGAAATCAAACTTTTTCGAATTTTAGTTGAAGTTACATTAAAAGAAACTTCAGACATGCGCGCGAATTATTCAGTAAGTATACAGTAAATGATACATCCATTAAAAAAAATAAACAATAAAATTCTTTTGATTGCTGTTGTAAAATATATGTATATTTGTAGAGAAAATTTTTGTGTTATTGTCAAACGTTTTCAATTTCTATAAACTTCCTGTCTTCCATTCATATGGGTTCAACTTGCAACTCTAGAAAAAATAACTCATTGTAAAAGATCGTTCAAAAAATTTTGTCTCATTAACAACTGACTACATTCCAGATTGTCATATGTCTAATTCTATTATGACTCAACATACGGATATAGCATAGACACAAACTGTAATGCTTTTGACGCAAATCCTCCCATCAAAAATCACTTTTATACGATAGCTATATTAAAAATAAAATCGTCCCAAAAATTTTGTCTAGTATTGTATGTAGCTAAATATACATATACACTAACACGTGAACATATCTAACTGTTTTATTGTCGATCAAAATGATATTTTATTCATAAATAGGACTCAGTGAGTTGAGAAAAATCCTGAAAGACTTTCTTTATACAACTATGACTGTTTTATGAGATTTTCGGCTTATGGCAAGACATTCATAGAAAAATTGAAAAAATTTCCATTTGAGTTTTTGTTTATAAATAGGTCTCTTAATCGTGAGTATATCCTTCGATTGATGATTAACAGTTAGATATGTTTTCTCATGCGTAACATTTGGTAATATTACAATTGATTTTTCAATTCTTTTCCATTCTTTCAATATAATTTCCTTTTAAATGTTCTAATAATATTCATGATTATATTCTCATTGTGTTTATTTCGTAACAAACAATTCAAAAAAAAAAAAAAAAAAAAACCTACTCTATTGAAAAAACAAAATGAATAATATCAAATAAATATTTGTCTCTTATATTCTTTTTCTTTTGTCTATTGAAATCTTCCGCCAGCCAGTCGGTTAAACTAATATAAATTTATATTAGACAGACAACCTGATGCAACATGTATGTAATATTTGTTCTGAATAACAACAAATTGCCTGTTGTATATATGTTTGGTTTATGTATATCATCTTGCCGCCGCCATCATTGCATATAGTGCCGATAGGGCATATATGGTCGATGTTTCACTTATCGCATTATGTTCAAACTGTGCTCGATGGCACATCGTCTACAGCTTGTTCAAGTTAAAACATCATCCCCTAGTCGACAATAATGATGATGATCAATGCATTCCAGATTGAACATAAAAAAGAATAACAAAAAGATCGATACCAAATGTGTTGATTGTCAAAAAAGAAAAACACAGCAACGAAGTTATTTGATTTATGTTAAGATCGAAATGACTGATAAAAATTCATGTATAAGACAAGGTCTTTAACTAAACATGCATATGCAATTGTTAAAGGTCAATCATTATATTCAGAATAAAAAAAAAAGAAGAAGAGGAAAAACGACGAATACTGATTGCTCAATCATCTATAATAATAAATGCAAGCTAAAGAATTGATTTCCTTTTTACTTTGATAATCATTTTTGCTATAGAAAAAAAAAAAAAGAAATACGAAAAAGTGACAAAAATTTTCTTTTTGTTTTATTTAATAGTTCTATTGATTTTTAACAACAATGATTGAAAAGTGATGAAAGACCGGCACCTGCTTAGTCTAAAGTGACTAATCTTTTTTTTTTTTTTTTTAGTGAGTAATGCCATTAGCCAAACGTTTATTTATTCTAGAGCAAACGAGAAAGAGAGAGAGAACAAGCAAGCTGCTCAGCTTGTCATAATCCTGTTCTTTCTCTTTCTCTCTTTCTTTCTGTCTTTATATATCTATTCATTCATCATTTTATTCTAGGACAAACGCGACATGTAACGATTAGTAAAAAAAAAGGTAGTATTGCTAAATATTGAATAATGATCATTTAATTTGATTATGAATACAAGACAATTTTCTATATCATGTAAGTTTCTTTTGTTGCTTTTATCATTCAAAATGATATTAATTTTTCACATTCTTCTTTTAATTATTCTAATTCTGATGTCACACCTATGTTAGAACTTAATTAAGCCCTTTATTATTCTCATAAAAAAAAAGGTTAATTCATTGTGAAGAGAAAAATTCTTTTTTTTTTTCTTTGTACATATACATATCTATGAAAAAATGTCATGAATATTTGTTTTGTACGAATGACCCTTGTCATCATTAGCTATTGTATGCAATGCAGTAAACATGAGTCGGATCAATATTATCATCTCTTTTATATCGAATGTTTACTTTCTATACTTTAGCGTTTCTACTAATATTAATTATTTATGAATTGACAACAGCTGTTATTATCAATGATTTTCCACGAATTTTAACTCGAACATATAATCAAACATTAAATCTATCTGATTTAGCTATATTAACATGTCATGTTACTAATTTAGGTAATCATCATGTAACATGGCTTAAATATGATCGAAATACTTCAACATTTTTACCATTAACTGTTGGTGAACAAGTTTTTTTATCTGATAAACGTTATTCAGTTTCATATTATTCAATATCACAAGATAATTCATATTGGAATTTAGAAATTTATAATGTAGAATTATCCGATGAAGGTATATATGAATGTAAAATATCAAATCGTCGTCAAAGTGTATCAATTAAAATTAATTTATATATACAAATACCAATGATTATTCAACCATCACGTTTATATGTTGAACCAGGTTCAAATGTTGAATTAGATTGTATGATTTATAATATAAATACATCATCAATAACATGGCATTTTTCAAGTTATAATTATACATATGATTATTATCATTATGATTATGATATATATGAAAAATATCAACATGAAAAAAATATTTCAAAATCTCAATTAATTATTCGACATGTACAACCATATCATTCTGGTTTATGGACATGTACATATAAAAGACAAAAACGAAGTGCAAGAATTTATGTAGAAAAAGGTTTGATTCATCATATTTTTCTCTATTGTTAGGTTTTCTTTCAAGATTACAGATTTCCTACTAATATTTTATTTTATAAATCAAAAGAAGATGACCTTCATGACAGGGACATATCCTGTCGTTTTCTTTTTCCTTCTAAAGTTATATTACGGAAATTTTTGACTATACAAAGAACTATTATTGATCATCGAGTATATCCTTTTTGGTTTTTTTGCACATCAATTCAGTAGATCTGTCATAATAGACATATCATAGAACTAGTAGTTGAATTAATGAAACAATGCAATATGCTAACGATATAAATAATAAAAAAAAAACTCTCACATTGTAGATATTACTTAGTCTTTCAACGGAATTATAATGTAAGAAATCTAAAATAACGATAAGATATTATTGTATATAAAAGATCATCATTTGCTATCAAATTTAGTACAATTAAGTTTTATTTATTTTTTTTTGATGAAATTACACCTGTTTATATGTCATATCTGTCTGTCTATTTTTAGGCGCCATGAAACGTTTGTTATCGAACAATCATTCTTCATCTAATATACAATGTACAATGAGCCTCATCTTATTTGCACTTCTGCTTGGTTATCATATGACTCATAGAATATAACACGTATATACACATGCACACACATATTTTATATTCTCAACCATCAATGAACAGTATCCATCAATAATCAGTCAGATCAACATTTAATATGATGTGTTTTCTTCTTTTCAATATATATATATATATAGAAAAATCAAGATGAACAATTAATAAAAAACGTTGTCGAGACTAGTGCTTGTTATAGACAATTATCGCTTTAGGGGGTGCCTTTTTTTTTATATGTCTGAAATAAAGAATTAAGGCTCAATTTAAGCATAAATCATCATTTTACTTTTCATCTTAATTAAACAATAAAAGGTGATAAGAAAAAGAAAATGTCTTTATCGATTAACAGACTTTGTTCAGTACATTTGCATTTCTTTTTTTTTTTTTTTTTTCGAATATTGTATAATGAATGGGTTTATTAAGTAGATCCTTTTTTTTTGTTGTTGTTCTCTTGTTGCTTCTATAATTGTGATTGACAGTGATACTTAAGAATCTTTTTTTCTTCTGTTTGTATGATGCAATAGATGTATGCATACTGTCACATTAATTCAGTTTTAGATGATGACAAAATTTTGATTGACTTTTTTTTTTTTTTTTTTTTTTCGAAGATAAGAGAATATGTATGTGTATAAGTTTAGTAATATTATTGATCTGTTACCTATTTAAACATGAAATTTGAGATTTGAATAGTGGTAATCCAATCGTTCTTTACACAGATGTGCATTTCTATGTTAAAGTCACGCATGCCAATTGGTCATCATATATGAAACAATAGGATCAGGAAATGAAGGGAGGGCAGATAAAAATAAAATCAACATAACAAGAAAAAAAAGGATGCATGAACTTTCTTTTGATAAAAATATAAATAGCTTATGTCAACGAAAAAAAGAAAAAAAAATCGAAGGAGATATTTCAAATAGTTCAAGGATTTTATTTTTGAAAATGATATTTAATATGAATGAGAGAAAGAAGATTCGTTTTCATATGTATATATAAAAAACAAAATGACAGCCACAATCTTATGATGATGTTATTCTCGAACTATGAAAATAAAAAATTTTAGTTATTAAATTATAACTATGAATCTTACGAAGTTCTTCTAAATCATCAAAGAAAAAGATCGATAGATGAGTTTGTTTTTTTTTCCTCGCATGAAGAGCATTCAATAGTAACACAATAATACATCATAAGTGACTGTAATTTTCTTAATACGACAATTGACTACTAGTGAAAATAGTCGTTTTCTTTTTATTGCATTGAACATGAAGTAGATGATTAATTGAAACTGTAAAAACAGAAGTTGTCAAAATTACACAATACTCATTAATTTGTAAAACGTTTCTTTTTTTTTCTTTTTCATAAATGGTACTAATAAAAAACTAAAATTCTTCTATTGTCATTGTTCATATAATTATAACTTTGATTATGAACTACTAATTTAGTATGAATATAAATTCTTCATTATTTTCAATATTCATGTATTTTGAAATGATCACTTTGATAAAATAAATCTGTATCTAATTAATATTATGATCTGATGTCTATACGATTAGTCATACCACTTTTTTTTTTCTTGGTTTTATTTGTCTTCTGTGATACGTATTACTGTTGAAAATCGAATATAATAGTTATGCAAGTAGATTATTAAATAATAGTATTAATATCGATCTTAATTATCATTGGATTTATTGAAACATTCTTCTGACAGAATTGAATCTATTGATTATATGGGAAAAATATTCTACAATATCTTTTTTCAATTTGAATTTGAGTTTAACTTTTATTCTCTCTCATTTTCATACATTTCAAGATAGCTTATCAAAATTTTATTACATTGACAATATACTGAAGGTAACGTGCTCGGTCTTAAGGACGATTATTGTTGTCATTATATATTTGTGTGAACAAAATAGATTATAAAAGTCAACAGATACAATTACTATACGAATAATTTATTTTTTGAATAATTAATCTATGGTGTATTGTTTTTAAAATTGTGTGGCACTTTTATTCAGTAGTTGATAATCAATATAAAGATACACATTATACACGGTTGGAAAAAATATTATTCCAGGGGGTAACGCTATAATTTCAAATAGAAGACATAATGAATTTTATATCAAATGAAAGCTCGTCAAAAATGGGGTTTATTGATACTAAATGGTGAGGCTTGTAAAAACTTTCTAATGTCAAACTTAAGAAGTTTTCAGAAATTTTATATTCTTTTGGGGTGGAAAATCAAGGTGCCACTGATTCAAAAATGAAGTCAATTTTTTTTCTTGAATATTTTTACATGGTTTGATAGACCTCGTTGAGCTCTACAAAGCTGTGCATGTTAAAAATTTTTTGAGGCATCTTTTTGAGATAAAAAGTTCAAAAAACTACTCGGGAAACCTCAAAAACATTTAAAAACTCTTTTTTTTTTCAAATTGAAGAAACACGCTCAATTTTTCAATAAAAGTAGCTTTTTTCGTTGTTTTTACTACCTCAGATGTCTCGAAATATACTCGTTCGATGCAGTGTGAAAAGCTGCGTCTAATGAGTATGTTTCGAAACGCCTGACAGAGTAAAAACAATGAAAAAAGCTACTTTTATTGAAAAAGTAAGTGTTGTTCTTCCACATGAAAAATATGAATTTTTTTCATGTTTTCTAAGATTTTCCAAATAGTTTTTTGAATTTTTTATCGCAAAAAAAGTGTCTTAAAAATTTTGTTAATGTATACAGTTTTATAGAGCTCGACGAGCTCTATCGAACCGTGTAAAAATATTCAAGAAAAACATTTTACTCCATTCTTGAATCACTAGTACTTTAATTTTCCATCCCAAAAAAAGTATAAAATTTCTGAAAATTTATTAAGCTCGACATTAAAAGGTTTTCATAACCCTCACTATTTATTACCAATAAACCCCATTTTTAACGAGCTTTCGTTTGATATAAAATGTAGTATGTCTTCTATTTGAAATTATAGCGTTACCCCCCTGGAATAATATTTTTTCCAACCGTGTATAGTAAAAATTTGTTTTGGTATCAACAAAAAATTGTTCGACATAATTATCCTGAACTTTATTAAAATTATATTCAGTAAGATGAGAATATTTAATGATTGATAAATGTTGATTAACATCTTTTGATTTTCTACGTCGTTTATTCTTTTGTCATTTTTGATTGACTAAAGGTAATTGTTGTTTTTTTAATGAAAGGAAATGATTGAGCAATAGAAAGAAAAAAAGAAAAGAAATCATTTTCAAAAGAATGTTCATCAAATAATGATATTTGACGAATATATTGAAATAATTCATCGGTAAAATTATTTTTTAGATTATTGTATTCTTTCAATTTATATGGATATGATTAAATATAATAGTGATCTTCTACTATCTCTAAAAAATAATCAATACAAGAAATTATTTAATTATGTTTAAAATTGATAAATCTCTTTTGAATATTTTCTATTTGATGGCAAATCAATTTAATAGTCGTTTAATTCATCGTAAACGTTTATAACCATATATTACGAAAAATCTATTTAATTAGACGATTTTCTCCTAGAAAACAAGATTAATTCGTTTAAAATATAGATATTAAATCAGATAATTTACATTATTAATGTTTACTAAATATGAAGGAACGAATCGAGAAATAATAACATAAAATGTACGAAGTTGATTGAAATACAGACAATCCGTGAAATGATCCACACTAACATGCAATTCTAACAGATTTGACGAGAAAATAGTCAAAAGGTGATATATCAAATGATAACTATTGACAGAGACATGTGGAGTAAATCGAGAGACTTTCTTGTATTTCTGCCATTTCAATTTTATATCTTCATTATTTTTTAACAATAGAAATTTTTTCTTTCATAAAACATATAGCTCAAGCATTTTTTTTGAATTCTCTGTTTTCAGATTTCAAAAATCTTATCGAAAACAGACTCTATACCAAGTTTTCCCCGAGAGCTCTATAACATTATCGATTCATCCAAATTTAGTGTAAATCGAATATCGTGTAGTGAGACGAATGTATAATTGTAGCCAATATCGTATTGTCTTTCGCAGTAAAACCAAAGTTCTTCATATCTTTTTTTACTCTGATCTAGACTATTCTTTCATCAACATGTAGTTCAATCATTTCTCTGCAATTGTATACTAGTTCGAGTCAGGTAAATAGATAGATAGTATTACTCGAGCATCCAAACAGACTTTAAGAAGCATATGATGGATGCGACGAGCATTTGAAATATATTTTTTTTGTTCGTTCTGTTTCAATTTCGAGCCCCTAGGCAACCATCAGATCCCGATCACTTGAAAACTGTATTCTATCGGACATTCATATTCGACTTCTCAAGCATTTTTAAATCCATCAATTACTCATCGAAGTTTCGGGTACTTGAGGAAAAAAATATGTCGAAAGCATAATGTTGAGTGCTTCACAATAGAGTAAGTCTAGCAGAATAATAGTTTCTAGTGGTAAGATTAATTTTGATTTCGTAAAACTTCTTCAAAAAAAAAAAAAAGTGATTTATAAATATTTCTTTCATTCAGCGCCCTTAGTAGAATGATTTATGTTCGATATATTTAACATTAACTGATGAAAAATAATAGAGTAAGACTGGAACCTAGAAACATTTTTGATGAAATACACAGCCATAACGAATTTTGCATTTTGAATATTTGAAAATTTTTTTTAATATTGACTTTATACTTTATTACATAAATCAATTATTTATCAAATAAGCTTCTTGTATGGCATCTGAGACTACAAAAAAAAGTCTTTTCTGTAGTTACACACATGTAAAAGGTGTTTTTATTCGACTAAAAAATTCTTTTTTTGTTTTTTCAATTTTCGAAAACTATTAGCAAATGTTAAAAGTAACAATCTTGTAAGTACTATGCTTCTAAGAATTGAAAGAATAACTTTCATAGGAGAACAATAGTTCATATTTAGTTTCGATATTCAACGAATCTCTTCCTCCACGTTTATTCGATAGATTTCGATGGTTAACATTTGA